GGGCAAGCTCTGGGGATGGCCTGGTCTCTTACTGCTATTTGTCTTATCATAAACTACATCCACACTGTGGAAACTGCAAGAGAAACAATGTTGATAAGTATGTCAATTCATCCCCATCACTGCTGTCATAGACACCACCCTTCTATCTTTGAGCATCCTCCTTCCAGGGTCCAGCCATGCTCCTTTGACCCCCTCTGGTGACTCAAAGGTCACTGATATTTAGGGAAAGCAAACAACTCTTGAAAGAGGTGCCAGGTCTTCCCCTCCTGGCAGGGTAGCATATTTCCTCCCCTTTCCTTTCCAGGGATGGCCAGGTTTTCAATAAATGTGTAACTGAAATACATCAATGTCAAGAGGCCAGCATAGAAGTCAAGCTTGATTAGAACATGCCATCCCCCAGGAACCTGAAATACCTAACTGGATGCAGAACTGCCAGAAGATTTCAGAGCTAAAAAGGAAATAATAGCTATATACTACTTATCATGAATTGACTGTGTGGGGGACATTTTACATGCTGTCCCACTTAATCCTTATAACACTCATCTATGCAGGATATATGATGTATGACTATTAGTAGTACCATTCTGCAGATAGGAAAAATTAAAGTTCCTGGAAGTTTATTAAGAGCCTTGAATGAGATTGATTTGACTACAAAATTCATCCACTTAATCTCCACCCAAATTTAAGGGCCACATATCAAGTGTCCCAGATCATACAAACGGTTAATGGTAACCTACCTGAAACTAGATCTTGTTTTTTTTTTTGTTGGTGGTGGTGGTTGGTTGGTTTTTTGCACCATATGACATTTATTCCTAAAGAATTCATTGAAACAATTTATATACTATTCAATTTGTCAATAAGTCAAATAACTCAAGATCAAAGTTACAGTTATTGATGAGAATGAGCATCAAGAAGAAAAGTTCATATTAGCTGCATGTGTTTACGCATAAACTCCAACAGGTAAATGCTAAAATTATCTCCATCCTTTCCCAATTTCTTCTGGCAACTTAGAAATGTAGACAAATCATTAATGTATTTGTAGCAAATCAGGGTCATTTCAGGGTTTCATAGACCAGATTTGCATTAGCACTCATACATAGGTAACTTATCAATCTCATTACTTAATGTCAAATTTGAGCATCATCTGTCAACTCTGTCTTCTGTAAACTTGCAACATTAAGGATATTATATATAAAAAATAGATGACCTTTCTGTTTGATAAATGACTTTATTTTGTTTTAGTGATCACTCCCTTCCCCCCCACCCCCGAAAGTGCCTGCTGTGGAGAAGTCACATGTAATAAAATTGGATTCATAAAAGGTGTAGTTAATTGCTAAGCTAAATTGTAATATTAATTCCTTAAAGCAAAAGGAAGCACAAAGGATTTTCCTGAATGGCTGTAACTCAGAATTTGTTTTTCCCCTCCCACGCCTCTGTTCTTCATCATCTTGCCTCTTATTTTCCTTGCCTCTTTTATCCTCTCCTTCACATCTGCAAAACTCACAGCTGTGTTTGGTTGCAGGAGGGGTGGAGGAGGTGAAGGGTGAAATCATTTCAGCTGGTGTATAAAACACATCACCACTAATTCACATAGAATATTCTCTCCCCTGAGGCTCTTAGTAGAAACTTCAGAAGAACTAAAAAGTCGTCTTTCTTTGTATATGTTTTTGCTTTAGGGAAAACAGAGATCACGATGTATTATATGGTAAAGGTAACTTATCACCATTATTATTGACAAATATTTGCTGTGCGCACCATGTGTTTGAAATAGTGCCAAATGCTGTGTTCTTGAAGGCTGTTTTCACTACTTGAAGGCTTTTGGCAAGGCATTTTTTTTTTTTTTTTTTTTTTTAGTGAAGACTTCCCTCTAATCTTTAATGTTCAATGCCCTATGAGACTTGGGAGGTACATAACATTATTCTTTATGTCAATATTTAATCATACTCCATTCAGATTTTAACATCTCATTTCTATGGGACGTTATAGATTTTAAGTGCTTTCCTTAACTTGTTTTTAAATAAGTCCTCCTTTCCCATTCAATTATAAAACATCCGAAATGACCATGTTTTACTTTAAATATCTATGTTGGGAGAACACAAAATCATTTAAGAAATTAAGCATATGAAAGCTATGAGTAGTAAATATTTCTAAAGATGATAATGTTCTCTTTGTTGACTTGGGTGGTGATTCCATGGATGTATTCATTTTGTGATAATTCATCAAGCTCTACATTTAAGAATTGTGCATTTTTTGTGTATTTAAAAATATGTGGGAAGAGCACAAGGGACTACGGGGATGGTGCATGGGTAAACTGGTGGTAGGAATTTCACAGGGAAACCATACATTGTACAGAAATGAAGGAAGATATAATGAATATATATTTTTTAAAATAACGAACAACAACTGGGCCCTCCCTGGTGGCGCAGCAGGTTAAAGCACAGCACTGAAAAGCTAAAGCCACTTCCGCATGGGTTCGATTCCCGCCTGCCCCGGAGGTGACCACATGGCGTGGCAGACCTCTCCTGACCCGCTGGCTGCTCCCCTAGCAGTGTACTTCATTGGTCTGCCTGTTCTGCTCCCCGCTCTGTCTCTGGTGAAGCCCCTGGCCGCCCCTGAGCCTCTGATCTGTACCCCAGTTCTGTATGCACAAATAAATAAATCTTTAAAATAACGAACAACAAAAAATATGTATTTATGAATGACCCTGAACACTTACATACACAATCAGAAAGACTGAGTTCATAGGAAGTATCTATTTTCCCTTTCCTATGGCACTCACTTTTTGTGATAGGCTGTCTAACTCTAAACGTCCATCCCAAGACATCATTCATAGTACTCCCTCTCATCAGATAATCCTCTTTTAGAAGTTTTCTGAGAAGAGAAAAAATATATAAATATGTTTCATAATAACAGGCACATCCCCAGTATACAGGACAGAAGCCCCGCGTGACTTAGTAACTAGTCCATGTGGCATTAGATGTCATTATTAAAGCTTAGCTAAGAAAAAGGAGATTGGGAGAAGAAAGAGGGGACATAGTTAGGGTGTTTATTTGGAAAGATACAACAAACAAAAAAATATACAGATTTAGGTCTGCCTTCTCCAGAAAGGCCATAAGATTAGAAGATTTTGCTTTCCTTTTTTTTTTTTTTTTATTCATCTTTTTTCCCCAAAGATTTATTTACTTAAACATACAGAACTGGGGTACAGGCCAGACGTGCAGGGGCAGTGAAAGGCTTCACCAAAGACAGAGTGAGGAGCAGAACAGGCAGACTGACAAAGTACACTGCTGAGGGGAGCAGCAGGTGGGTCCAGAGAAGTCTGCCGCGCCATGTGGGTCACCTCCAAGTTGGGGATCGAACTCACGCTGAAGTGGCTTTAGCTTCTTAGTGCTGTGCTTTAGCCAGCTGCGCCACCAGGGAAAGCCCACTTTCCTTTTTTTTTAAGTGAGCTTTTTTCTGTAAATTAGATCCTATATTCTCTAATAGGCCCCAATTTTTCTAATATAAAATGGCACACAGAATGTTTCTTTTGTGCTTTCCTCACGGTGCTATCTCAAGTCACTCCTGCTGCAGCCCATGGAGGTGGAGGTGTGCTCTCACACCTGATTTCTCAGGCTTCTCTTTAGAAGACTCCTTGTTCAAGGTGAAAATGGCTGTCTCTTGCCCACCTCTCTCTTCTTAACTACCATTCTGAAACTAGTATTTTCAGAAATAAGTTCCACAGGTTTTGCATCTCCAAAGAAATGTATTTTTGGACATATTCCCATTTTCAGTTTGATTTTTCTAAGAACTTTCCTGATAGGGGTGAAGAAGGGTGTTGTCAAGATCCTATAAAATAATCTACAGAAGCCTAGGCCTATGGTAGTCACTTGTTAAACAACAGTTTTTGTTACTGTTATTAGTTCATAGGTAATTTAGCTAAGGTTTTTCATGGCAATAAGGTAAACTCAAATTTTTATGCAAATTATTACAATGTTGAAATAGCAGCTACCTTTATTGAGTGTTCTGTATCAGACTTTGTTAGGCATTTTGCATAAATAGTTTCATTAAAATCCCTAGCAGTCCTCTAAAGTAGAAATTGGGACTTCATTTTAAAATTAAAAAAAAAAAAAGGAGCTATGATTAGGGTTTAAGCCAATTTACTGGGTCTCTAATCAGTAAAATTGACTATGTGTTGGAGTAGCCCCATACCCCAGGGGTACTCAGGGTAGCCAAACTGGGTGTATTGGGTGGAATCAGTACTGCTTTCTGCTGATAAGCACTAGTGGAAATAAGCAGTTCACAGCCCAGGATGAAACTCAGCCCCCTGAATTCCAACACAGTGCAGTGATCTGAGGAAGAAGGATGCGCCGAAGGGGGTGGAGCAGGGAAGCCACTCTTGGGACAACCTAGAAAAGGGAGCAAAGTACGTGGGCTTACTGTGTGTATGTAGCTGCTGCAGAAGGCAGCCATTCTGCTAACCATCTGCACAGTGGGCTTTTCCTCCACAGGGTTGGAGACCCCCCATCTAAGTAGTAGCAGACCTCTGCTGTGCCCTGCCACCCTCAAGTGGCAGGTATTAATAAGACTTTGTCCCAGGGTATTGTAGGCCAGACATGGCAGAACTTGCTGCAACTCCACCTTGCACTCTGTTGGAAACTGGACTTTTTTTTTTTTTTCCTCATTCTTCATTTAGTGCATTTTTTCATCTCGGTTGTAATCCCGTGGACTTCCCACCACCAGTTCATCCATGTGCCATCACCACAGTCCCGTGCACTCTTCCCATCCCACTTTTGATCCTCTTCCCCTTTCTGTCCCTGTGGAACATCTCTGGTGGAAACTGGACCTTTTCTTCACCCCCCTACTTTGTTAGCTCTCCCTCCCTCTCTACCCTACTGATAGAATATTTTGTTGCACCAAAGCCCCCCCTTTTCTTTTTGTATTTGTGGTGGCTAGTAGCGATAACCAATAGAGATTCTGACCTGGTGACAATTTTAAACCTTTTGCCAGTAATATACGGAGATGCAATTTCTCTGAACACCACCTTCTTCCATGATGTGAATTCTGCCAAATTGTTGCATGGCACTCAAACCCTCAACGAGGAGCCACTAGGAGTTGTGAAATTACAGAAGTCTCAAAATAGATCCTGCCTCCCAGATGCTGGTGGTGGGTAAGTCAGTCCTTGCATTCTTGCCCAATATTTTGTCACTGAGACTTAACGCTTTTTGGGCTTTGAGTCCTTAATCATCTTTTACTCGTTTGTGTTTGTTGCCTTTAGCATCTCCAACATCCCAAACCAAGCATCCTTTTAGGAAAAAGTGACAAACTGAAGTTTATTCTCTGTTGCAAGAATCTTCAGCGATATGAGAGACCAAATCCTCTCTCCTAAAAGTTGCCTGCTGGTGTACCTGCTACACAGGTGGGTTTAAACCGATTCAGCCACTACAGCTAGAATCCCACGGAGTCATGGTCAGTACCTTGTACCACTGAAGCTAGCTATTGCTCTGCTTCTGCTTTCCAGAAAGAGGAACATCAAGGTACTCTTTTTTTTTAAGGGGAAGACAACATAAGCCAAGTCTGAGGGTTAAAATTCAGTTGAAACAGGGCCACTGGGGGGACGATAGCCTTCCAATGGACAGTGCCCAATAGGGGACAGGTCGCCGACTGTGGGTCACCTGCACACATGATTGCAGACTATTCAGGCTCAAAAGACAACAGTGGGGTTTGTTTAAGTAACGGGAAGTAAAAAGTTCTTAAGGTCACAAGTGGCTGGTTATCTCACCCTAGATAGTATCCAAAAGTCTTCAAAAGTCCTCTTCCGAGATGGTGTTGCCCTGTAATGAGCGTGAGGAGCTCTTGCCATCCAGCAGGCAGTGGATGTCCACTCTCTGAAGCTAGAGGTGCTCACAAGCAGGGCCACTGAAATGACACCACAGCTGCCCCAGCCACAGTCTAAAGGTCGGGATGGACAGCACCAGACACTGGGCCATGCAGCAATGCAGGCTGCAGCACTGGAAGGTGCTGCCAGAGGATCAACAGCTCTCAAGAGGTGCCCAGATAGAGTGCCAGTCACCTACTAACAGTGCTGGGCAGCACTGGCCATCAGTGCCATCACTATAGGGCACTAGCATGACAGCTCTTTGTGAGTCGTTGGTCCACACCAGCAATAAACAGCTCCTTGAGGCACCAGGCCTGAGGCCTTATGTTCCATTCACTGTGAAAGGCAGGCCGGAGGCAGGTGCACCCAGCCCAGACTCTGCCAAGCTCTGGCTTCTCTGCAAAGCATTTTGGCTTTCCTCCTTTGGAATTCAGCTGCTGATTATCTGAAAGCATCCAGTCTGACCAAGCAAGTGTCCAGTCCAAGCAAGCGCAGCCAAGCACACCTGTGTGCATGTCAGAGCAAGGCCAAGAGAGTCCATCCAAGCAAGCCTCTAGAGTGCGGGCGCACAGGCATGCAGGAGTGCAGCTGTCAGAGCAAGACCCAACGGGCTTCCCCCTGCCCCACCTCCTTTTTCCAGGTCCCCCCAGGTCTGATTGGACAGGTTTTAATCCTATGGATGATAAGACCATTTAGCAATCAGCTCATTCCTTGCAGCTGGATCGGCCCATTCTTCAGTCCAGACATCAAATCCATGGGCCTCTCCATTGCCTGCAGCTGGAGAGAGCCATGGTGTTGGCCCCATGGGATCCCAAAAATTATATGCCCTGGGGTGATGAGCAAGGACGAGTACTGCTGTGTACTGCTCATCACTGCCAGCCTCTGCCCGCAGCCTGAGCCCAGTAGGGCCACTGGAGATGGCAGTGAAATGTCCACCACATGCTGCTGTTTGCACTGCCTTTAAGCAGTACTCTGGTGACAAGAGTACTCTGGTGACAAGAGTACTCTGGTGACAAGCAGCAGAGCCCTGAGGGGGGTCTCCAGTTTCCCAGTAACACATCAGCAACCCCAACTTTCCTAATAGCAAGTACGTTGTGTATCTCTCTACAGTTACTTATATTAATACCATTGTCCAACTTGTTAATGGCTTTCCTTGAAGAGGTTCCAGTTGGGAGGGAAGCACTCTGTCTCTTGAGGTGTACAACTGGCTTCTTTTTATGTTTTTGTAGAAACTTGAACTAGAGAAGGATCAAACCGCTGCACCCCCTTTAATGGGAATTATCCTTTTATCAGTTATACTTCCCTTCTGTCATTCATAGTGACTACCTGTGCCACAGTGTCTCTGCCATTCAGAATATGGAAATAGTGTGAGTAGGATGCTCACAGCCCAGTGGCAGTTCTGGTTTTACCCTTGGGCTGGACACACACTTAGGCACACTGTGACCTGCTCATTCTCTTAAATCCTCTCCCTAGACACCATTCTCCGTGAATCCTATTCTCTAATCACCTCTAATCCTCATGATCCTCTGTCCAACCTCTTCCCACAAAAATCCAGGAAGTATGCACTTAATAAACAAATAAATGCACTGACAAAGATAGATGTATCCAGAACAGCTTTACCAAGGTTCAACTTCAAACTGGTATTTAACAAAATTCCAGCCCAAATGTTCATTTGTAACTCCAGTCATGTATTTTATTGAAACTAACTTGAAGCCAAACATTTTTAAAATACTTACAAGGATACAGAAATAACAAATACCTACAAGATTACAAAAGTAATAAATATTACTGTCTTTAAAACCTTGGGGGTGGGGGAGGTTGAGTGTCTCCATCCCAGAAAGAACAAGAAAAGGAAGCAGATCTGAAAAAAAAAAGTGTTGCTTGGACATTGACTAGAAATCAAGGCAAAAACTTCTGTTTGGGTACCCTTCAAATCCCACAATGGCTAGGAAACTGGGGTATAGGAAAATGTCCCATGGGTGGGTTCCTATAGATCCTGTCCTCACTAGCTCTTTTCCAACAGATTTTCTGCCTTGTTTGAGTTCATTTCCAAAAGGGAGGATATGAAAGGCACCCAGATATGACAAAATTAATACTGCTTAAGTAGTCAAAGCTTATATTCAAAGATCTGAGCTGTGTCAGAATCTAGACCTAAGGCCTAAGGAAGGAATAGATTTCTAAACAAGCCTTAAATGATAAAATGCTAATATACATTAAAAAGAGAAGTCTGAATTGTAATTTTAATTTGTATCACTTCTAGATACTATGGGGTTTGGAGAAACCATAAACAACATGTAAACTCAGAAGCCCTTCAGTGTAGACAGAGATAATCTACTAATGGGCTCTGGTACATCAATAATAAATCAGTAACTTGAGCAAGCCACAGAAGTAGATATGAAAAAGTAGGAAGGTGAAAAGTAACAGAAAACACAGCATATGCAAATAGTGTTATTTGCATATCTTCTCTGAAGTATGGCATTGAACTTTGGGGGAAAAATAGAAACTATAATTGAGTTAATTAAGGCACATGGCAATAAAATAAAACAAATTGGAGTCTATTGGATAGCTATATGTCTAATCCTGTACTTGGGCAACAATTTCAGAGATATCTTCACATTTAATTTTTAACAACCTTATGCACAAGTTTTAATGCAGAAACAGAGCCCACAACTAGTTAAGTGGTAGAACCAGGTTTACCTCACTCCAACCTCAAATGCTTCCCAATAACCCACTCTCCATCCACAACCAACCTCCAGACAGGAATAATAATTCTTGTAAGTCTTTCAAATCATTCATATATTTCTAATTTTGATTAAGCAATCTCCCAGGAAGTGGTAAAATCACCAACATCTTAACAAATCCAATGGTATGACAGGGATTTCTTTGTTATATTCAAGTACAACACTAGTGAAAGTTTCCAAGAAAACGACAATCACAAATGCGTACATTGCAATGCCCACAATGAAGCTGTAGAAATATCCTACTACAGATTGAGAGACCCCTTTCTTTGTTTACTATCTTTGAACAGGAGATATTAACAGTACAAGAAATAGCTTATTCCTTGGTACTTCACCTACTATTTTTTCAGTTCATCTGTCCTATATATTATTTAGGCATGTTAGCAATATTTTCTTACAAAAACAACCTTTCTGCATTTCTTTATCTTTTTAAATGCTCATCACAGCACTCTGTAAAGTGGGCAAGGCAGCAAAGCACTTATCCAGAGTTCTCTCCATTGTAGTTGCAGGCATGACATACATTGTTTTTGGAATCACCTACAGCTGTCTCATCTTACTCATCAGTGGATAGCATTTATATTTATAAATCTTTTTCTATTTTTTTTAGCAAAGGAAATGACAACATTTTTATTCTAGCTATCTCTTGTCATTTTCTAGTGTTAAAACTAAGGAGAAAAGAAATCAAATGTAAGATGAAGAAACAGAAAATATGAACTCTCAGGCATGTTGCTTTGATTTTGAGTCTGATTCATCCTAACCGCTTAAGAAAAAAAGAGAAGTAACAGATAAAAATCTCTGTTTAACTATGATTCTGATAAATTTGACTCCAGAAAGTAAACTTGCAACTGCATTTTAAATGTTAAATTACAATGATCAAATGCCTTTACTTCTTAAAAAGTAACAAGAGTTCATGTGAAGAGCAAGATAGTCACTTGTTCATTCTCAATTGTTTTATAACTTTGCCTTAATTTTCCCATGAGAAGTATTTTATTTAAGATAGCAAGTTATCATGATTCTAATTATGACAAGTTTCAGTTATTTAAGGATAAGGTATGTGCTAGAATCCATAATTCTCTGCTTCAACAAATATCTGATTTTGTTCAAAAAAAATTTTGAGTGTTTATTAAGTACCAGATGCTATATTGATAATACAAAGGTGAATAAGAGTCCCTACATTAAGAAGTTCCCAATGTAAGAAGGGAGATTACATGCAAGCAAGAAAACATGTGCACAACAGGTGACAAAATAAAGGAAAAACAAATCAAAAGAGGTTGCAGAAAAAGAAACTGAAGAGCAAAAGCAATGTCTGATGTTGGTCTCAATATGTTTGTCAGTGGCAAGGTGTGTGTTTGCTCATGTGTGCACTCATGTGTCTGAGAAGATTGAGAGGAAACAGGGACCATTTCAAGTATGGACAAAGGCATAATACAGTTCATTGGATTCTTAAAGGTTCAAGGAATCTGTTATAACTGGCATGTACAATGCAGGGGAAGAAACGGTCTAGTGTGAAATGTAGAGAAAAAAGGCTGGGTAAACCGCTACAAAAGTGCAAATCTCAGCCCCCAAACCAAACCAAACCAAATGAATCAAAATCACAAGGTGGGTGCTATGGATCTGTGTGCTACACGCGCCCAGACTGCTTCTTAAAAGCTCACTGAAGTGGATGGAGACTCCCCCACCCCCCAAGTGATGGGAAACCTCAGCGGCAATTCCTTCTCCTCCCTCCTTTCTTGGTCACTTTTCCTATCATTGACTAGCCCGACCTGGTGGACTGAAGGGGCTGAGTTCATGGCCCAAGTCCAG